ATTACAGAGTAATGAAGAAAGTACATCGAGACTGGTAGGAGGGCCTAGAGTTGACTGGTCTGACACCCACATGCGGTGTGTTTTTAATCAGTAGGGATGGGAACTGGGTGGAGGTGGGAATGCAAGGGGGACATTTGTAATTCTCTCAGCAATAATGATTAAAAAATAATAATTCATAAAAGTTCTCTTATTTTTATATCATGTGACCACAGAAACCTCATCACTTTCAAGTAGCCCCTGGATATCAGATGTTGAGAGCTTCAGTGATAGGTTGCAGATGGATTTAGAAATTATTCACTTGCTTCTACTATTCAGAATTTAATGTTTTGTAATTCCTACTAAAAGAATATTACCTCCTTTTTAAGGCTTGCATTTCACTTTCCTCCAATCTGATATAAAATACTGAATAAAAATAAAGCAGAAAATGGTTTAGCTACTTCACATTTATCATAATAGGGGGCATTTCCATAATTTAGATTTATAAATAAGCCAGAAACTCCCCAGATTTGGCCAGCCGTATTGGTAAAAATTTAGGAAATTAAGCAGTTTATTATGATTTACTTGCACAAACTTCTGTTGAGGGGTTATATAATTTAGTTTACTGATATACCCATAAAAAGAACATTAAAATAAAATAAATATTTGAGTAAATAAATCACCATGACTGTTCTCTTGAATAAAAATAAGCAGTAAGTGTGTAGTTTCAGATGTTTACTTTAATAGAACTTGAAGACATAGATAGTCATTGAGTGATCATCATGGTTACTTTTTATACCAAAATGATACTAAACAGAAAATGGCCATTCAGTCTGCATGCCATCCATCATCTGTAAATTTCTTTTTTTATTTTCTGGAGCATCAAGTTTGTTATAAAATTTGAGAGAACCAAATAATTTAATAAGAACCCCCACAAACACGGGAGCAAAGGAGGACAGGGAAAGGAGAAGAGTCCCAGGAAAAACAGACAGTCTCTGAAGTTTCATTCAGGTGGGGGCTAAAGGGTGGTCTCATGGGGAAAGCAGCTTTTCCTCTTGACCTCTGAGGGCTCCAGGCAATCTTCCAAGTTCAGAAGGTACTAAGATGCTTCTGAAGTCCATGGGGATGTCATATACCATCCTGATGTGATTCCCATGCAGAGAACACCTCGGCAGTTTGCCCACCTCCATGGTCCACTGGGCCAAGTCCTCTCACCTTGCACACACAGCATGTACGTCTAGCTCTCACCCACAGCAGACTGTGTTCAGCCATTTCCCCTCTTTCCACACCACATGGCTGGCCTCCTTGGAACTCAGCATTTTTTAAGTTCAACATTTAAAATGCAGTGTGCTGCCAAAACTGGCTTGGCTCAGTGGATAGAGCATCAGCCTGAGGACTGAAGGGTCCCAGGTTCAATTCCGGTCAAGGGCATGTGCCTTGGTTGCAGACACATCCCCAGTGGGGGGTGTGCAGGAGGCAGTTGATCAATGTTTCTTTCTCATTGATGTTTCTAACTCTCTATCCCTCTCCCTTCCTCTCTGTAAAAAATTAATAAAATATATTTTAAAAATAATTAATTAAAAAACAAAAATAAATAAAATGCAGAGTGCTGCTTGATTTCCCCTTGATTGCACTGAGGTCCTGCTTTGGCTGTACACTATTGTAAAAAATTATATTGGCTTCACTCTTGTCCCTTTCAGATGCTGCTTTTCAGTGGACAGCCTACAGCATAGGAATCTTAAGAAAAACCTGAACACCCGCCTAGCCAACCCCTGCTGGCCCCGGCTGTGGCCAGAGGAAGAGGTTTAGGTCCCACCGTCTTGCTGCCCAGCTTGAAGGCAATTTTCATTGGTGGTTCGCTCTCAGGTTCCACCACCACTGCTGGTGCTGCTGCTGTGGGTGGAGAGGAGCCCCCAGTTCACACTGGAGTGTTAGGGGTGGCAGTCCTTGATTCTAAGCTGCCTCGGGGAATTGCAGTCCTTGCTTCCATATTGGCTGAGGGAATGGAATTCCTTGCTTCTACACCAGCTAGGTGAATGGTCATCCTCATCCTCATGCTGACTGGGGAAATGGTCATCCTGGCTTGCACACTTGCTGGGGGAATGACTGTCCTCCTTGCAGACAGCCTGGGGAAGTTGGAGTATTTGACTCTGGGCTGGGTGGTGGAATCCCAGGGTCTCTGCCTTTCTGCCCTGATGCCTGAACCCCTGGATTAGAAAAAGACTGATGCTGGGATCAGGGGAAGGATATGGAGTTACCCTAATCTTGTGGCCACAAATCTTGGTTTTCATACTACCAAAGACGAGATAAATGCCCATGATGTTGTTATATGTTCTTCTTGTAAGTAACCCCGGTATCTTATGATGCTCATATCCCATGTTCTTCATTATTTAGGCTATCTGGGGGGTCTAAGTCACCCCAGGATGGTTTGATGCATGGCATCAATTCCCCTGACTGGCCAATGTTGACCAAATAGTCTTTCATTATATCTTCCAGGACTGGTCTTTGTCAGAGGTCAATAGTCATTAATTTTCGTACAAGTTTTTGACATTGTAGACAGAAGCATGGTATAAAGAAACAACCATTCAATATGTGCTAAGTTCTTCAAAATTCTTTCCCATAAATGGTAGTTCCCCTAGCACCATCCTGGAGAGCACTACCCCTGTGTTTCAGATGCCCACCTTTGGGCTCTCATAGGGTTCGAACTGGAACATCTCTGGGGTCATTTAAGGGCCAGTACCACAGAAGGTGGTCAGTTTCTCTTCTGTAAATTCTCTACTGAAGCCAAAGTCTTCTAATTTGACATTCATCTCACTATCTAGAACCATGTTCTCTGGCTTTAGGTCCGAATGTACACTGTGTCCCTGGTGACAGTAATGTATCTCTGATAGCAGTTGTCAAAATGGCTCTTGGGCTTTGTTCTCCTTCATGGGACCACAGTTCTTTAAATCCTATATAATGAAAGATTAATATGCAAATTGACCCTAAAGGCCGAATGACTAGAAACGACTGGTCACTATGACACATACTGACCACCAGGGGCCAGATGAGCTGTGCCCTGGTGATCAGTGTGCTTCTGTTCGGGGAGCACTGCTCAGCCAGATGCCGACTCATAGCTGACCAGCCAGCGGCAGAAGCAGGAGTTCCACAGCAGCCATAAGGATGTCCAACTAATAGCTTAGGCCTGCTCCTTGAAGGCTGTTAATCAGGGATTCCCTGAGGGCTCCCAGGCTGCCAGAGGGATGTCTGACTGCCAGCTTAGGCCAGTTCCCCCAGGGAGTGGGCCTAAGCTGGCAGGTGGACATCCCCTGAGGGGTCCTGGACTGTGAGAGGCTGCAGGTGGGGCTGAGGAACCCCCCGAGTGAACAATTTTCATGCACCTGGCCTCTAGTAGTCAAATAAGGTTCCTTCACTTATATGCTCCATGAAGCGACACACCTGTTCCTGGATGGTAAGATCTCAAACAATTTTGTGATGTTAGGATGATTTAATTTCTTAAACGACTGAACCTCTTGGAGGACCTCACAGGAACCATCCCAGTTCACAACTTTCACAGCCACCTCTGTGCTGGCAACAATGTGCCAGGCCAGCCTAACCTCTACAGAGGATCTCTTGCCAATGGTGTTGAGGATGAGGCAGTTGCCAAAATGGCACTCCTCGTTGGCAGAGATGGCTGCAAAGTCATCACAAATAGTGATTTAAAAAAATAAAAAATGTTATCTGATACCCATTCCCACTGAAGTGGGTCAGTGATGAAAATAGAAAAAGAAAAAAGCAAAGGAGAAAGGAGGAGGAAGAGGAGGAGGAGGAGGAGGAGGAGGAGGAGGAGGAGGAGGAGGAGGAGGAGGAACAAAAACAACAAAAAAACTAATGAGAAGATAAGCCAACTAGTTCACATCCAACAGGTCACTACCCATCAGCTTCCTGGGCTCCAGTGGGCTAAAACTTCAGCCTAGCCAGGGCCTAATAGAGGAGTGGTTTGCAATTCCATTAAAATTGTGCCTTATGAGGTCAGAGAAAGAAATGGACCAATCATGGCTGGGGATGAACCACTGTGGTTTTCTAACTTTTTGGCCCCATGATCCTTTTGCTCTGGGAAAAAATAAAATGACCCCCAAAGAGCTTTTTATTCATGTGGGATGTTTACTGTATTAGAAATTTAAATCTGTGAGATGCAAAAAAAGAAAAGGCTGACTTATCCTACTGCTCCAGGTTTCAGTTCAAACCTGCTTAGAGAGGGCTTCCCTGATCCATCCATTCCTACCTACCCGACCCAGTGCATCATATTTTTTATCTTCATAGAGCTGACCACACTGTAAATTGTAGAGAGCCGCCAGAGAAGGCACATGGACATTCTTTTCATTCTTATCAGCTGAGCCCAAGGGCACTGGCAGAATCCTGTTATCAGTACTGATTTCTTATCTTAATCCATGTGCTTGGAATGAGAAACAAATAAGACCTTGACTTACCCAGATCTTGATATGCTAAATCTTGTACCAAAAAATGAAGAGCTTACCCAGATCTTGATGAATAGGATCTGGGCACACCCGAAACTCCTTTTGACCTTAAACTCCCCTTTAGAAACCAATAAATATGCTGTGTTGTCTGTGGTGAGTGTGAGTGTCTCTCCATCAGAGAGATGGCGCCCACCTAGCTCCCAGCTTTATCTATTTCTGCCTCTTATCTCTTTCTTTCTCTAATTTCTTCATCCCCAGCTCCTCCACTCAGGAACCTGTCGTTTTTCTGTGCAGGACACAGAAAACAGAAAAAAATGCCCACTACAGTAAATGATATGTTTTTATTAATTTTTGTTTTTGAAAGGAGAGGAAAGAAGAAGAAAAGAGCGATAGGAAAACGTGGATGTGAGAAAAACATTGAGTGGTTAGATTCCCTATGTACCCCAACCTAGATCAAGCCTGCAACCTGCCCAGGTGCCTTGACCAGGAAATGGACCTGTGACCTTTTGGTCACAGAGCAGTGTAGCTGATTCTTTTTTTTTTTTTTTTTTTTTTTTTTTTTTTTTTTTGAATATGGAACACTTCACGAATTTGCTTGTCATTCTTGTGCAGGGGCCATGCTAATCTTCTCTGTATTGTTCTGATTTTAGTACATGTGCTGCCAAAGCGAGTGCAGCTGATTCTTGTTTACTCTCTGTCTTCCCATGAGGAAGGAGCATGCTGGTGGTGTTCCCAGTGTCTAGCACAGTGAGTGGCAACAAAAGAAGTGTTTAATAAGTATTTGTTCTCTGCATTAATATAGGAGTTTGGAGGAACAAAAGAAAATATGGCCAGTTTTTATTTAATCAAGGAGAGTCATAAAAAATAGTCTTAAAAACAGTCATGTTCTGTCATCACCCAGCTTTTGGAGCAGATAAGACAGGAAAGAGGAGGGTTGAAGTCTAGGTTCCAGGTATGTGGGCACTTGGTAAGGCTAAGGAAAGTCCAACCTTGCTGTCTAGACTAAAGATAATTTGTCCTTCCAGTGGTACTTGCTAAGAATACAATAAATTTGGATCTGTAATGAGGCTGCAAGGTATTTTTACAATTTGAATATCCACTTCCAGATTACACAAAGGACTGCTCAGGTGACCTTGAGTAGGCCATTTAGGTGAATTTCTGTGTTAGTTAAATGAATCATCCCTGTGTATAGAAATGATGATGAGGCTTGTTAATTTACATTTATAAACACACTTTGTTGGTTTTCTTGTTTGTTTTTATCTTTTCTATTATTTTAAAAAATTAACTTATTGTTGCAAGTATTATAGATGACCCCTTTGTTTGTGTGTTATAGTTGTTTTTCCCCATTAACCCCCTCTACCCCATTCCTACCCTTTCCAGGCCTTTACCACTCTATTGCCTGTGTCCATGATTTACTTATATGCATACAAGTTCCCTGGTTTATCACTCCCCTCTCACCTCCCCACTTCCACCTTCCCTCTGAAATTCATCAGTCTGTTCCATGCTTCTATGTCTCTGGATCTATTTTGCTCATCAGTTTATTTTGTTCATTAGATTCCACATATGAGTGCAATCATGTGACACTTGACTTTCTCTGACTGGCTTATTTCCAGATTCCATTAATGCTGTTGCAAATAGCAATAGAGTTTTCTTTTCTAAAGCTGTGAAGTATTCCATTGTGTAATGTGCCTCAACTTTTATATTCACTCATCTATTGTCAGGCCCTTGGGCTGTTTCCACATCTTAGCTATTGTAAATTGTGCTGCTATGAGCATAGGGGTACATACATTCTTTCTGGTTAGTTTTTCTGATTTCTTAAGATATATTCCTAGAAGTAGGACCACTGGGTCAAATAGGAGTTCCATTTTTAATTTTTTGAGAAAACTCCATATTGTTTTTTCACAGAGGCTGTACTAGTTTGCATTCCCACCAACAATGCACAAGGGTTTCCTTTTCTCCACATCCTTGCCAACACTTGTTGTTTGTTGATTTGTTGTTGATAGCCATTCTGACAGGTGTGAGGTGATAACTCATTGTCATGTTAATTTATATCTCTGTGATGATCAGTGACTGAGCATTTTTTCATGTGTCTTTTGGCCTTGTGTATGTCCACTTTGGAGAAGTGTCTAGCTAGGTCCTTTGCCCATTTTTTAATTAGATTGTTTGTCTTCCTTTTTTGTTAAGTTCAATGAGTTCCTTATATACTTTGAAAATTAACCAATTATCGGGTGTATCATTGGCAAATATGTTCTCCCATGCAGTGGACTCCATTTTTGTCTTGTTGATGGTTTCTTTCGCTTTTTATTTTGATGTAGTCCCATTTGTTTATTTTCTCCTTAGTTTCCTTTGCCCTAGGAGATGTATTAGTAAACATATTGCTACAAGAGATGTCTGAGATTTTGCTGCCTAGATCTGTGAAATACACCGTGGTATTTTAATAGGAATTGCATTGAATCTATAAATTGTTTTGAGTAGTATGGACATTGTAATTATGTTAATTCTATCATTCCATGAACACCATATATTCTTTCACTTGTTTGTATCTTCTCTCTCTTCTTTAGTTTTCTGAGTACAGATCTTGTACTTCCTTGGTTATGTTATTCTTAAATATCTTAATTTTTTTGTTGTTGTTCATGACTTACATTTAAATATTTTATCCATTTAGCTTATTTTTGTGGATGGTGTAAGCTGGTGAACTAGTTTCAGTTTCTTTGTATGTATCTGTCTAATTTTCCCAACACCATTTAATGAATAGACTATCTTTATTCCACTGTATGCTCTTGACTCCTTTGTCAAATATTAACTGAGCATAATGGTATGGATCAATTTCTTGAGTCTGTGTTCTGTTCCACTAATCTATAAGACTGTTCTTGAGCCAGTCCCAGGCTATTTTGAGTACAGTAGCTTTATAGTATAGCTTGATATGTGGTATTGTAATTCCTCTAACTTTGTTCTTTTTTTTTTTTTTCAAGATTGCTGTAGCTATTTGGGGTCATTTCTTTCTGGTCTCCTTGTCACTAAGATCTCTCAAATCTAGTGCTGAGTAAGACCATGTCTTAGTCTGTTTGACTCAATATAACAGAACAGTATTGTTGGATGCTTATAAACAACAGAAATTTAAATATTCATTTACTGATTTGAGAGTTGGAGAGAGAGAGGGGGAGAGAGAAAGATAGATAGAGAGAGCGAGAGAGAGAGATCAATTTGTTCCCTTATTTATGCATTAATTGGTTGCTTCTAGTGCCTGGACTAGGGCTTGGACCTACAACCTTTGTGCAATCTTGACATATCAGGATGACACTCTAACCAAATGAGCTATAATAACAGACATTAACATAAATAACAGAACAATAACAGAAATTAATTTTTACAGTTCTGGAGCCTGGGAAGTCCAAGATCAAGGAGCTGGCAGATTCGGCATCTGGTGAGAACCCACTTCCTGGTTCACACATGTCTGTCTTCTTACTGTGTCCTCACATGGTGGAAGGCTTGAGATTGAAGTTTGTGGTCTCTTTTATAAAATCATCAATCCCACTCATGAGGGCTCTAATACCTCATCACCTCCTAAAGTCACCACCTCCAAACTCCATCACATTGGGGATTATGTTTTCAATTTATGACTTTTGAGGGGACATATTCAGAATATAAAATGGGCCAAAAGTAAGTTTACAGTTGTGAGTATGCAAACCAGTGGTTATGCTTGTATTATTATTTATTAATTATTGGATTCTTTTCTGTAGAAACAACTGTAAACCTATTTTTAAACATTTAATCACCTTTATTTATTTATTTGTTTGTTTATTTATTTATTTTCTTTGTTTGTTTTTGTTAATACTCACCCGAGGTTATTTTTCCACTGATTTTTCGAGAGAATGGGAGAGGGAAAGACAGAGAAACATTGATGTGAGAGAAACACATCGATTGGTAGCCTCCTGTAGGAGCCCTGACCAGGGCCTGGGCTGGGCAGGAGCCCGCAAGGTACGTGCCCTTGACAGGAATTGAACCTGGGACCCACTGGTCTGCAGGCTGATGCTCTATACCCTGAGCCAAACAGCGAGGGCTGTAAACACACTTTTGTCCCACCCTGCATAACACTCTGTAGCATAAAACATCCTGAAAATGAAGTAGTTAAACAGGAACCCCTTTTCTCACCCCTCATCCTGAAGTGAAAGGAAAGATGCTTAATGGTATCCTACAGGAAGTCACATCTACAGGTCTACCCAATGGAAAGAATATATTCATTTTTAGTTTTGACCCAATCAGGAAGTCACTTTCACACCTACTGGGAGCTGACCAGAACCCCTCTCAAAATGGCAGCAGAATAAAAGGCAGCTGGTCCAACAGCTCCAGTGTATGCTGACTTGCAGGAGGGGCAGGTAGAGCCATAGCACCGTGCAAACAGGAGGAGCTGCCTTCCCACAGTAATGAAAGCAGAGCAGCAGATACTTCCTAGAGAATCTTAGCGGAAAGCAAAGTGTCCTTAATAAGATTTTTAAGAGACATGATACGTAGTAAACTTAAAAAATATGAACCAGTAAAAGAAAAACAAAAACATATTTCTGGATTATAATATAGTAAAAAGAACTTGGCACAAGACAAAACCTGTGTTGATACAAACAAAATATCAGAATGTGGGCAACGCAAAGCAGAGCAATGCAGGCCACGCAAGCACAGAGACTATGGCCTACCTGCAGGTACTGGGGAGAATGGGTGCCAGATAAGCATTCATGCACACGCCACAGCGTAGTATTTAACATAATTTATCTCTGTCTGGGTGGGCTCCAAGTTATCCAAGCACAGGATAGCTCTATAATCATCAACTGACAACCTGGTATTTGTCAGGCTGATGACTCTCCACAGGTTATTACCTTGAGCAACTCACACTCCTGAATATTGCTAGTATTAGAAAGACAATAAAAACTGTAAGATAATAGGCAGAAAATAACACAGTTTTTGTTCTAAAGTGATGATATTATGGATGACTTTTCCCTCCTGTTTTCCAAATAATCCTAATGCTTATTACATTTTATTTCCAAAATAAATAAATAAACATCAAATACAACTGGAACCAAAAAAATGAAGCAATATGCTCTAAAAATGCATGAGAAATCTTTCACTTTAAACTTGGGAGTTTTATAATTAATTTCAGCAACAAAATTACAAAATTCTATATAAATGGTGGGGATGGAGTGCCACGTGACTCATGAGAGGGTCTCAGAATGAAATCATCCTGAATATTACTTAGCTCCTTCTATTTTTCTTTTTCTTTTTTATTTACTAGAGGCCCAATGCATGAAATTCGTGCAAGAGTAGGCCTTCCTTCTCTCAGCTGCCGGCACCAGCTTCCCTCTGGCTCCTGGGACCCAGGCTTCCCTCACAGCCCTGGCTTCCTCTGGAAGGCCGTCCAGAAGGACATCCAGTCTAATTACCATATTATACTTTTATTATTATAGATTTATTTTAAACAATACATTTTTAAAAATTTATTTTTACTGTTTAAAGTATTACACATAGTAGTACCTATATCTCCTTTCCCCCATCTACTTTTCTTTTTAACATGTTGCTTATTTCCCTACAAAGAAAATCTCATATTAACTCATATTATTTATGAAGAAAACTTTTACCTAAAATTCTTATATTCTTCTACTTGTCGTTTCCATGGACAGCTCTGTAC